CATGCTAAATTCTGCTGTGTTTATTTCAAAAGCCCACATTTTTGTACTGTCACTTCCTCTCCATAGTCCGACTTTGCTTGGTTTGTATATCAGTTTGATATACACATGCTGTAATTGACTGTGAAGCACCTATGGCACACGATATTCAGTGGTGCATGTGTGCAAAAATTGCAGAAAGTAAGGAAGACAAAGAAAGAAGGGGCAAAGCTTTTGTAACACAACCTATCTGTTGTTACTAGAAACTCACTGAGAAGGTGTCGAGCAACTTCATCCAACAGACCTCTCTTCAGGCTCTCAACCCGCAACAGGAGTTTGGTCTTTGCAATTAACTGAAGTGCAAACCATGCTTCCAGAGGTATAACAACCTTTCTTACACCAACAAAAGTGCAAATTCAAGAACAGATGGGGGCGGGGCGGGGAGCGGAAAAGGTAGGTGCTGTTTTGGCTTTCACCTCTCCCTAGCCGCTGGTATTAAGGAATTCGAAATGGATTACATAATTTGAGAAGTCATTTAAAGCAGTCTTCAAATCTGAATTGGTTTAACTACAGTCAGAAGTTCTTAAATGCTTTAATTTTTTTAATAAGCAACAGCCCGTGAGAGTCATTTGAATCATTCTTTAATTTTGCCCTTGATATTTACACTTCAGGGAGAGAATGGATCCTTAAAATGCATGCCATACAAAATAACTTTGTTTAATGTGGAATCCAAACAGCACCTTCAAAATTCAGAACTACCACAATTTTGCATACCTTTTATTACACATTAGAAGATAGCAACTAAATAAATCTTCAGAATCTCCACAGACTGGGAAAATTTAGTAAGCAATTGTGCAGAGTGTAAGCCAATCCAGAGTCCTATTGAGTCTTCAACAGGATCTCTTTCAGAAATTGCACCTTGGAACTACAACACAAAAACTATCTCTGAAGTTTTTGCTTCCCCATCTTCCTCACTGACGCCTGTCCATGAAGGAGAACACGTCTCGAAAAACTTTTAATGAGATGATGCATAAGCTACCATCAATATGGTGATGCTATATGCAAATACAGGAGCGTTACTGGAAGAAAAAAAATCTAGTATTTGATGTACCTAACTGTGTATTTACCACATTCAGAAAAACACACTGAGAGTGTTTCTGACTTTTCAATATTGCAGTTTATGTGAATGAAAAGAATGATAGAAGTCACTATACAGTGCAAGATTGACTTTTGATTATGATGCAAAATGCCAACTTCAGATTCTATTACGGAGAGAAAAGTCACAGATGCAGGCATTAAATTTCCCACGCCAGAAGGCATTGTCTATTTTATATCCACTAATGTGCCAGATTGGGCAAAATCTGTTTCAGCAATTTAAACTGCACAAGGTGGAAAATACTGCGGATCTCTTCGTAAAAACACAGTTTCTTCTGCTGCAATGAACTATAAAACTTTTGTTTGACAGAAAAATGACTACTACTTATGAGTATGTTTTAAATTGCTATAGTTTAAAGCAACAATGTCACAGAATGTTTTAAAATATTTTTCCCACTCTAAATGGCATTAAATCACAGTGAAGTACCTGTACAGAATTTAAAAATTAGTATTTTCTTACAGTATTTTAATAATATATTAAGTATACACATATTTGCATTCCACAGTGCTTCCGATTGCTAATGTCCTTTCTAGACAGATACCTCAACCATCAGAACCATATGCTTGCAAATTAAAGAAATAAATTTTTTGTGTCATCATGAGTAAGAACCCTGTGCTCCTGTCATTAGTACTTTCTAGACTACTACACAGATATAATTCACCTCCCCCAAGGCATCTTTCACTTGATTTTACTCAGAATGCTCTGTGTTTCTTTTAACAATAGTTTAAAAGAATTATTAAGTGGTATACCTTTATAGCAGGCACAGACTTCTGTATGTTAAGCACTGGAAAAAAACCCTCATTAGTTCTGAAAGAGACTTTATTATCTATACCGCTTTCACAGTTAAACTCAGCCCTTCGCTTGGAGTTCAGCTGTTCTTGGGAGTCCTACGGAACTGCTCAGCGAACCCCAAAACCCACACTCCATCTACACATACAAAGTATCACTTCACCTTGTCCAACATGTCAGGAGAACATATAGAATGGCTAACGGCTGACTACAGACAACAGCATTCTATATCCACTCCTTTCTGAACTAAACACCTGTGGGACAACACAAGCTCATGAAACTTCGAATGACTCTAGGCAGCCTAGTAACTCCCACTCTTGGCAGACAAAGCAAGCAGGTAACGTAAGTATGCCAAGAACTCTTAAACGTAGCAGGAGCTGGACACAATGTTCAACTGAAAAAGATACGGTTATGTTTTATTTTAAATACAGGCACAATGTTTAAACCATGAACTGTGATATAGAACTGTTGCTCTTTTAAACCATGAACTGTGATATAGAACTGTTGCTCTTTTAAACCATGAACTGTGATATAGAACTGTTGCTCTTTTAAACCATGAACTGTGATATAGAACTGTTGCTCTTTTAAAATCTTAAATTAAGTTGTTGTTATAAAATACATGACTAATGTTCCTCCTCTTAATTTTACATGTTATGTATTTCTTTCTATGATTTCTGGGACACCTGACAATCAGAGGAGTTTCAAGTTAAAAAAGATGTACCTTTTCTAAGGAATTCCAAATGATACTTTTTACAATATGATTTTGTCTAGAAAGAAATCCCAAACTTGTTATCCAACTTTAGTAAGGTACCTCTTGTTTTTGTTTTGAAGTTTTGTTTGACTGAACCTGCAGAAAGGGATGGGAATTTGTCAGGTGTTTCATAAAATCACAGATTATAAGATGGTAAGAGCAAAGACCATGAAAAGCAGCAAGTGGAATAACAAGTAAAGTGGACAAGGCAGAAATATGAATACAGGCTTTGCATAGTTTCAACTGTAGGGGAACAACAGGAAAACACTGCAGAGTAGGGGAAGGTAAAGTGAATATCACTTCCATCAAAGAATCTAGTTTGTCACAATCTTGTGGTTTTTTTTTTTTTTTAAATTGGTTTTCCTTTCATACAGTCTGCTTCAAATAAGAAGGAATGCTTTTCCAGTAATCTCTTGATAGTTAATCAGTTTGACCTTTGCTTATACTTTCCAAATTAAAACTGTTTCCTAATTTAATTTTGCTTTTCATAAACCTCTAGGATGATCTTCCATCTTTAAAAAGATCAAATATTTTATTATACTGAATATCAGATTATTGAAGATTTTAGTACATGCATGGGCAGTTCATCTAATCCCATTGACCTTTTCATATTAAAATCCAGTTTTATGTTTTATCTGCTAGTTGTTAAAAAAAAACCCCATGCATCCGTTGTTCAGATGCTGGTTCTTTATTGTTATATGAAAATTAAAGCAAAACAAGACTTTCTTTTTATTTACATGGAACTGAGAAAATGCACCCAATATTTAAAAGAAGTTGAGCGTGGTAAGCCTTGTATTTGGAATTATGTATAGCTCAAACTACAAGGCCTAAAAAGTAAGAAGCATACATCTCACATAATCACTGTCACCTGTTTTGCTCGTATTTCCTTACTTCCAATTCAGACACAGATCATATTTGCGGTAGATTTCCTTCTATTTTATGTACAACTAAGTGATGTCAATGCCCTAATATCCATAGCTAATTTATTCCACAAGAAGCCTCCTACAGGGAAAATAAACCTAACTGTCCATCCCTGAAACCACTGGCTTATAAAACACCAAATAATAAATAGAAAGCAAAAATCTTCTCTTCCACACAAAGCATATTAACTACCTACACAGAAAAAAAGACCACACATGACAGAGCAGATGAACATTACAGTTAAACAAAAACCAAAAAGTACCACGGGGAACAGTTGAAGCAAGTTGCGCAAGTCACATTTATTCTGCCAAAAACCTGCTTTGTTACAGAAAGCAAAGAAGGGCTGAAAGGGAAGTTTTAGTCATTAAAAAAACCAGTAATTTATGCTTCTGATAAGAAGTCAGCACTGTTTATAGGAAACTTAATGAGCTTTTATCTTACAGAATGAAACAAATTTAACTGCAATAAAATCTGTTTCGCATATATTCTAAGCATCAGGATTATTAGTGATTTTGCTCCCATTACTTTGCTTTGTCTCTTTTCAATGCTATAGATTAACTAAACGTTACTAACCCTTTTGGTTAAATTCCTCCAGTCAACTTACAGAACATCAGAGGCTTTCAATCAAATTACAAAAATCTCAAAGCTACAAGGTAAAGTGTTAGCCACAGGAGAAAATTAATGAAAGTTAATCAAATGTGCCTAGCAAACCATAAGGCTTTGTAAAGAATTTAACAAGAGATGCAGGAAAAAAAAGATTAAACTTAAAAAAATCATCTCCAGAAAAGAATTATCAAGTGGTAGAAAATGTTTCTGGAATTTAGATAAGATGACAAACTGCTATTTGCATAAACAAAATTAATCACTACGCTACTCTATCATAGGTCCTTGTGAACACACTGTCCAGATCAGTGACACTTATTGTGTAAGGTTGGAGGATGGAGAAGGAAAAAAACAAAACAAAACAAAACCAAAAACCCACCAGTTTGAGGAAGCGATCTGACTCCGTATCAGGTATTAAATCAAGTGTTAAAATGAGAAACATACTGTGCATGTATGCACACACACACAAGAGTGTTCACTCTCAAGCAAGAAGACTTCAAAGGCTTAATGGTAAACTAAACATCATCATTACACTGCTCACACAACTTCTCCTATGTGATTTTGTAAGTACATCACTGATACAAGCTGTATTATTTCCACAACCTACTTCAGAAGAAAAGTTACTTTATTACTGTTTTTCCCCTCTTCGCTTTTTCTCAGGTCAATAGATACCAGGAAAGCAAAATCCACATGGATTATCAATGCTTATAGGTTACATAATCCTACAATCTAAAATGAAATGTTGGAAGTATTTAATGTCAAAGCAAACAGCTATTACCTTTAGGGGTTTATCTATTTGCTTACCTTTACTTGCACTCTCAACATGCAGCAATTCGTCTGGAAATCTTAAGATGTCTCGGTAATTCTCCTCACAGATTTCTGCCAGAAAATGCAATAGGGTTGTTTTCTGATCTGTTGATTTAGTATCTCGAATCTAAAAAGGGAACACAGGAGAAGAAAAAGGAAAAAAAATATCAATTTTTTTGGTAAAATGTTTAAATGAAGTGAATATTGCAGATGTAAACTCATTTGAAAAAAATTTACCTACACTGTTTGGCTGCAAACGGAACGAAGTATTTAAAAAAAGAAATTTCTGCAATTCTTCATAATTTAAGACTACAAAGGGAATGTATCCCTATGCTGTATTTTAAAAAGAACAATTATTTATGCTGAGAACAAACCTGAGGACAGTCCATAAAGTTCTGAGATTTTAGCAAAGCCAGTTCAGAATGCTCATTACGAACCGAGACTAAACAGAATAGAATGTAGTTCGTTCCTTCAGTGTCTCCCACTGCCAGATTCCTAAGGAATCCCTTTGAAGTGCTGCCTAACTGGACAGCATGCTAAAAGTCAGAATTTTCTCTACTACCAGTCAAGTTAAAGAAACGCCTTGTTGTAAATCCACAATTTTTTATTGAAGCAAAGTCTAAAGGATACTGCTTTATTCTAAAGACTTTCAGACATATTCTATACAAACACATGAAAAAAAATGCACCCCGCCTTACTGGAATACAAAATGACAACAGAAAAGCAAAGGTAATCCTAACTGCCAGTAAAGGAGATTTAGTACGTCCGGTTTTATTTATTAAAAGCTGCGTGAAAATTGAGCACAGTGTGAAGACATAGGTGATTGCTTATTTTCACTGTCCTCTCAACTGCAGAGGCAATTTTTAGTGGTCTGAAATAAACTAGTCGTCTTGAAGGTGATAAGACTCTCTGTCCTCCGTTAACCTAAGTGCATTAACTACTAGAATCAGTTTATTATTTTTAAGAAACAATTCTGAAATAATTGTTAAAATACAGGGCAAATTTGCTAGTGGCAGATTTCCAAGTAAGCATAGACCCTTGTGGCTAAATCCCACGGCAGAGTGCATGTGTATATGCAAAGGAACTTCATGAACTTAAGAGAATGAGAAAATGAACTGAAGTCCAAATTTAGTTTCTCCATTTTTATGCAGACATAAAGAACAAATGTATGAGCTGATTGAAGATTTAATGGAGGTAGAGATTACCCCTTATTGACAAAGGCAACAGAGACAGTAGGTGTATGCAAGAGCTTGAGGTGAGTGTACTTCACTTTTTATAGGGAATTAGTATTACAAGCGTATCTGTAAAGATTTTTTTTAACCGCATTTTATTAACTCATCTAGTACAGTTCTTACACAGAAGTAAGCTACAACATACACAACAAATGAAATCAAGGATTTATTTAAGAAGAACACATAAATGTGTGTGTAAAATCTCCTATTTGTTTTCTCATTCTCTAAATCACTAGAAGTTCTAATTCTATAATCCTCATGACAGGCTTGCCATCGATGTTCAATTTAATACAGGCATTTCAGCTTTAAGGATTACCCTGTTAAGAATAAATGAGTGCAGTCGAAAAACAGGCTTTTAAAAATATAAGGTATTTAGGCAATTAAGAATGCAATTTAATTCATACTGATTCGGTGATTAAAGACTAAACAATGCTCAGTAATGGTATGCGGTTAAAAGGTTTTAATGCGTTACGTACGTAGAAGTTTTTCCAACTTGAAAAAAATCATAGATTTAGTGGCCAAACATCTGCATGGTAAAAAGAAATTGCATTTCAATTTGTCTGTGAACAAGAATCGGGGGATTTGCAGTCTTTGATCTCTCTGACATCGTCAAGTGGATAAAGCTTTTTTTTTTTTCCTAAATGGACAAAATCATTTTGCCTTCAGATTACAACTGTTTTGTCACATCATATTAACAAGAGTTAATATTAGCACCTGCTGATTTGTTTAAAACCTGTAGTACACAGTCATTCAGATCTTAAACAACTGTGTCAAATTAACTTCTTTGGCCCAATCAAAAAACATCTCAGCTACATTCATCCATATTTTCAATAGCTAAGAGACACAACGAGTAACATTCAGCTCTGTGTGATCTTTAGAATCAATATATATACTTCAAAAATCAAGTTTTAAGCCTACTAATATAATGAGAAGGCAAGGAAGATAGGTGTTTCTCGAGTGTAGTTTAGCAGATACTATTTAAATATAAAAACAGAAATGAAAGATAGAACTGGAATGGTAACTAACAGCAGCATAGCTGTGTCTTTACATTCTCTATATTCACAGAGTATATTTGTATTCAAGGTGAATTTTTTGTCTCCTCTCTCTTTTTATTCTTGGGTAGAATTTAACGTTTTTTACTTTATGGAAAAGACAACTCTGGGTATTCTGAATTAAAAAGTAATCTTTTAAGAAAGTGAATTTTGTTTTTCTCATATCCAGGTAAAAGTGTCCCTAGTTTCAATTTATGATCCCTGTCTCTCATTCTTTTGCTGCACACTTTGCTAAAAAGCTTGACTCCACCTTTACAGTAACCTATTTGGTATTGGAAGGCTGCTACAGGTCCGTCCGTCCCCCCCGCCTCCCACTTTATTTCTCCGGACTAGAGACTCTTTCCTTAGTGCTCCAGCCCCTGACCAGCTTGCTGGTCCTCCACTCAAGTTTATCAACAAAAAAAAGATCTTTTGGACAGAATATTGAACACCATGTTCCATACGCAACCCCGCAAATTCTGAGTTAAGAGCAAAAAAAAAAAAAAAAAAAAAAAAAACACCACCCGTGACCTCCGAAAAATTGGAGTTAAAAAAAAAAAAAAAAAAAAAAAAAAAAAAAGTCACCACCCGTGACCTCCTGCCTACGCCCCTACCAATAAAGCCCCGGCCGCTGTCAGCCTCCACTGCTGCTAGGGCAGCCTACTGCCTCCTCTCCGGGCTTCCCGCTGAGCTGCTTCCCGCTCTCCAGACAACACATCTGGAGCAGGTTAAGCCTGTCCCAAGTGCAGGACTTTGCACGCAGCACCTCACAATATCACCACGTTAAATACAAAATCAACTTTACCATCCCATTATTTTCCTTCAGCATAAAGCTACACTGTCCTTTTACCAGCCAGAGCTCTGGAAAAGGGCAAGTTTAAGATGCTAGACTTACAAGCAAAATACACTTAGGGCCTCTGTTACATTAAAAGGTTAATAAACAGAAAATCAAGACAAAGTATCTAGTTTCTCATCAAAAGACTATTATTAAAAAAACCCCAACACTCAGGCAGCTGACATTTAGTCAATGTCTTCCAACTAAAGAAATATCTTATTTGGGTCAGCAGACTAAAGGCAAAACATGAGAGGAAAAAAAAAAACTTCAATATTTTTCCCCCTTCTTTTCATTCCTTGCACTATTACTTCACAGATGATAGTTGAAGCTAAGATTTACAGTAAACAGTGATTAGATTTTTTTTTTTAAATATGGTGACTCTTAAATACATCTTAACATACAATTCAATCAGAAACACATACTTCAATGAAATATTCTATGGGTTTTAAATTCCAAGTGATATTATGGGTTTGTAAGGGAACAAAAAAGGAAAAATGACATCCATTTCAGTCGTGAGTGTTCCAGCCTCACAACTGTAGGTAAGTATGGACATAGGCCAGTGCAAAGGAAAAGGCGGACCGTACAAAGGGTTACATTTTTCCAAGTGGCCAGAATTTCCTCGCTAGTGACCGAGGTGTGTTAAACAAAAACCAAAACCAAGTAAAATGGGTTAAAAAAAGGACTTCGCTTCCCACCTAATATGTACTGGTACACAAGTCTGTGAATCCTAAAAATGCCTGCCTTTCAAATGTTTCTGCATTATGCCCTCCGTATTTTCATCCTTTTAATTCTCAAAGCATTATCATATTAGAGAAGTCATAATAGTTCCCCAAGACTTGGCAAACGAACAAAACTCGCCAGCAGTAATGGAATTCACCATTTGGAATACAAATAATTGCTTTACTTCTGCATCTTTAGTAGTGTTAACACACTGGAATATAAAAGCTTTTACAGAGCAGTGTCTGCATATATGGCATTTGTAAAACATTAACAATGCATGTCACTGACTTAAGGTTTTCCAAATTTCCTTATTTTTAAAGAGGACACTAATACTGCAGTGTTAAAACTTCCAAATACAGGTTTCGATTCTACGGCCTTTCTTTATCTGAGAGACAGAATTTGGGAATAACACATTTAGTGGAAAAAAAGAAAATCAGCAGATCAGTGTAGGCT